AGACAGCGACCCAAACCGGTGCACAAAAATCTATGGTTAGTGGTTGTACAAACTGAAACTGAAACTGTGGTGCCCAAATGATCTGAATAGCTGTTTCTGGCACTGGGTTGGGAAATCACTACGTGATCTTTCGCCGATGCAGTATCATCTCTTCTGATAACCGCCCTCATGCAGTCAACTATGCATTCCACATTGACATTCTTTCCTAATACATGATTTGGTTCGTGGAAAATTCACCGGTCCAAATAACTGTCTGGGAAAATAGCAAAAACAAAAAATATTTGAAGATGACCAACTGGTATCCCAAGTGCACAGGTATACGTCCATGTATAAGTCCAAATAACACGACGTAATAGGTTTCTCCGATTTTACGGTCAAATAAAGGTGTGCTGGACTTCTGGCGTATGGAATGTGGAGTTGGTTGAAATGTCCCTTAAGATCATTTGCTTGTGTGGGCTTTTCCTGTTCTGGGATGGCAATATTAGTTGAACTATCTAAGTGTTTTCGCATCACGACCGCCCATATACCACCCATATATAAGAAGTATATGAATGACGCTACAAAATTTTCCTGGAAGCAAACGATCGGTTTCGCGGTTCTTGCCGCTCGTCAGGTATGCGTAGCCGCTAATCTTTAGTCACCTCATTCATATACGTGTGTATTTTTGTTGCAATAATCTCTGTGTCGACGCATTCATATACTGCTTATTATGAACTAGTTTATAAAGACGCTCAAGTTACGTTTGTTGCAATCAGTAGCATCTAAACCACGTACAAAACGTCGATTCATGGTTTGGATTATTCTCTGAATAGGTGCTAAAAGTGCTTTTCATCCAAAATTACCCGGTGTGATATATATGTACATATAACGAGATTTCAGAACAATAAAAACCTATGCCCCCCCCCCCACCTATTTCGTTAGTGAATTCAGCTGTAGTACATGATGGCGTGCTGGTGAACTGCATATATGGAATCAATTTGGTTTAACAACTCGATGGTTTGTGTGGTAGGCCCATCGGAAGTAGATTATCAGGAACAAAATTGTTGGTCGCCAGTATTTTCCCCGATTCCGTTGAAGGTTCAGACCAGCTGCGTATTAATGGGGTCTGTGTTCAATCGATCGAGTCATATAGTCTTCGACGAAGACCACACTTCTGAGGTTGCCACTTTAGTCTGATAGAGCATCAAGCCAAACTTCCTCTTGTCTATAGTAATTAACTGGTGAAGTTGGTGTGTGCATTGTGTATGATATAAAATCAGCATTTTTCGATGATCTGTCTGCTCATACCCTTCGTGATAGATAAGTTATTTGGTATTTGAAAGGAAAACAAAGCGATCGTACTTCAATGTCAGTTTGAACGAAACAGTCGGTATTACTCGATGTTGCGTACCATTGTCTTCGACATAAATACTACAATACCCGGAGTTTTGTTCGTATTAAATCTTCCTTTTCCAAATGGGGTAAGAACATTGGCAACGATCGAACATAATTAAGAATTCCTCTGCGCGATTCTAGGGGCAATTCATTTCGTGAGGTAAAATGCGGATTGTGTTCTCCTTCAAAGTAGCTGATGTGTTCCCATTACTGTCTAACTGCAAATGTTTGTTGATTTACAAGGTTCATTTGTAATTCAAGTTACATGTATATAACGAGAAGCTTTATATTCAGGAAGACTGCGTGTCGTTCCGCGCACCAAAATCTGCTTGATAATTCCCTGTGGCCAAAGCTCAAATGGGATGCGCTAAAATTGGGTCGACCATGTTTTCACGAGATTTCTTGGTTTATATTAGACCGTAATGAACTGTATGTAGCTCTAATCATCGGTCAAATACAAGAATGACTATTTGTCCTCTGTGCCATAGCTAATTGCTACTCATAGGGTAACAAGATACTGAACCAGATTAACGCATGTCAGATGACTTTCTGATGAACAGAGATCTCCGACCAAGTGAGAAACCACCAAGTCCTCAAATATCTTTACTGCTCGTGTGCGAGCGTTCATTCAGTGAAGCAAAGGTCATCTACTTTTGTTTAAACAGATAACTGATTTTTTCGCTCTCCTATTCGCCACCTGGAGATTCGCCTCCAGCTCTACTAGTCGTCAACTTGAAGTGCAAATTCGCATTAGTACTATCCAAATTGATACATCCTCGAACAATGCGATCCAATTCTTAGGTGGTAACCGCTCACGTTCCGCTCACGCAACTGTGCTTGTCTACAGAGGTATTCCTATTTTACCTAACGAGCTTACCGAAGCCTCAGCACGCGTTGTTTAGGCAGTGTGTGTGCAGTTGCAGTCGCTATCTATGCGCATGTCTTCATTGTCGCACTACACTGGACCTTAGTGCACACGTTCACTCATCAAGAAAGGCAATCAAAATACAAATTTCTAGTTTGATTTAACTTGGTTACTTTTGCTGATGGCTGATTTTTCTTGCCTTGCTATCATTAGGCGTGTCGTTGATTTTTCTCTTTCGCAATACACTTTGCTTTTGTGAATGTTTATCTAACCACACTCCTGCTCTCTGGGGAATGTTATTCCACATCCTGGTTTCCCCAATTGTATATTCCAGTCTGGGCTTTGCCCGTAAGCTTCATCTTCAATACCCGCATTCAAATTTTTATTATGGGTAAATTACAAAGCTGATACTTATTGAATTCCATAGGATCTGTACACACTGCATTCGGTTGGTAGTACAATTAGCTTGTAAATTATGATGTTCAATCACGAGTGCTGAAAAGTTAGGTGTTTCAATGCTTCATCCAGTCGTGACTTGAATGAATCGATGGTTGGTTCACAAACAACTTGAGGTGGAAGAGAGTTCCAGGTGTTACAAACTCAGGCTGAAAGAATAACGCCTACGCGCATGTATGCTTCTTGCTTTACCACTTCATGGTCGATTTAAATGCACATGCAACAATAAGTGTCTCAAGGTGTATATCTGTTACTGAGAGATTCATCCCATCCAGTGGGATGGGTTTCCTAATCGGTGGAACTGGCAAAGCCTCATCATTGTTGCTCAATTACAGGAAACGATGGCTCGAGCAGGCTAAATGTATTATGCTGCTCAACTATGAGTTCACCTACGTGTTGTAATATGCCTAGTGGCTAGATAGATTATATTTAGCGTCGATAACACCTATATATATATAAAACACCGGTTTGTAGAGAAGCATGGTGCCAACCCCACAACAATAATAACAATAAAAATAATAGGGAGGTGGGTTGGGATACAGAGAAAAGTGGAGAGAGGGTGAAACAGTTAAACACAGGATAATGGTAGATATCTGAGATAACAATTGCACCTTAGTGGAGATCTCCTATGATCAGGTACGCCAAACAGTTCAGTGGAATTTCATGGGCAATATGAAGACGGGAATCAAATTATCCACTTGAAACAGTGCTGTCAGCGAGTCATTGTTTTCGTTCTCGAGTACCGTCTTTGACCCGCGATAGCATATTGAGTGGGTTTTGTCTTATGAACAAGAGTGATTTTTCGTGGATATCCAAAAGCATGAGGTGCTACTGATGAAATTGGTGCAATCCGTAATCAACTCTCAGTTAGCGATGAAACCTGGAATAGTATGTTTTAGGACCGAAGTAGTTGACGTAGATCAATGTTAGTAGAACTGTTGCAGTCCATTCCAACTGTTGTGCTCATTTAGTTACGTGGACCGGATAGCTCTATTTTCCTCCCCCCCCCCAGTGTCGTCCTCATTTTCCTTTTAACTG